CTTTTAATTATTTTACGTCTTCTCCAGATGCTTACAGAGTTTGAAATGTTTCGATCTCATCCCAAAATAAAACTCTTGATTCAGCCAACTATGCGTAGCACAAATGCCTTACTGATTTGAGTCAACTATGTAGAAAATAACAGAATAAACTAATGATATCAGTACTAATATTCTGAAACTAAAGAAAATTTTTAACTAATGAAGGTTCTTGCCAATAAAACATTTCCCAAGCTCTCTCCTCCCGTGCTGAACCCAAATGATTCTGTTCACAGTCAGTAAATCGGTTGCTCTGGTAGATAAGCCCCAGGTTTTGGGTTCTCGGCAAAGCACTATGGTCCCATTGCATTATGTACATCAGCGGAAATAGACTAAACCTATGCATAGAAACGAGCTGCTTTCACCTCTTTGGTTACAGGTATGAAATAACTTACTAATAGTATTATTATAGATTACAAATAGTGCGAAAGTACAAGAAAACATTTTTGTGCAATTTATATTTAAATTTTAAATAGCGATAATATCAGTGTGAAATCTCCTATATAAAAGTTTACATTCAAAACAGAATCTGGGAGACGGGAAGAATAAAATTATCTTTTCAAATTGTTACGAAAATCGTTGTTTGCTCTCACCGGAGAAGCTTTCAAACAGCAATGTTTCGTTACAAAACCTTGCTGGAGCCTGTCACTCTCCCGATGATCTCCTGTTCTACGAAAGCCGTCAATTAACGAAAGCCCTTATTGCGCCCGTCTGACTTCTTTCTCTCCGATTTCTAGATATTTTTCTGCTGTCACTTCGGCCGTTGGATGATGTGCGTAATTCGGAAGACGAATAAAATTATCGAAAAGCCAAAACGTTTTATCAAAGTTTGTTGAAAGTTGTCAAGTTATGAAAAAGGTATTGTCAGAACATTCCTGCATTTTCACGTTTGCCAGCTTTTTTGAGAAGTTACACGTACAAATAAATAAGATAATGCGTAATATATCGTACAATTATAATACAACAACTTTGACAATAAATAATTTTTATCAAATTAGAATATATTTATTATTCTATATTTATAGATTTGTTGGTTCCCAATATGTTATTTTCGTCATTACTCATATCTTCACTGCTGAAAAAAGTCAAATTCTTACACTCTCAATAAGAAAAAATCTTTGCGGAAAAAAATGTGTATTACATTTTTCATCCCACTGACTTATTCGTCCGGCTTATTTGCATTTCACATACTCGACACAGTACACTTAGTACCCGGGTCGATTTAAAGATTGTTTGTCAAGTTCGCACGTGAACCTTGAATACAGAATGCTCTGGGCCCTGATCCAATTTTGTTGGCAATGTGCTGGGGTAGATTATGCGAATGTGAGATCAGTGTTTGTTAATACTTCTAAGAATTCAAAGTTACAGTGCAAGAGTTTCTAAAAATCAGATTCATAAGAACCTGTTGAAGTTTATTATATTTATTGTGCATATTTAACAACAATATTTTTAAATTCAAAGACAACTCAAGGACTTCCCTCAATCCACGTATCAAGTCGAAATAAATGACGGTGAATATCACAATTAAATAATTTTGTTGATAAAGAAACAGAACATAAATATGTACGTCAAAATGAAACATACATGAGACGTTTGTGTTATTACAACCATGGGCAGGTTTTTGTATGGAATTTGATATTTTACATACTAAATGCTGCAAATATTCATGTTGTTTTGGGGTGAATAATATGAGCAAATGAAAGATAAAAATAATAGATAAGTCAAATGTTTATTTTGAAATAGAAAATTTCTCAAACTATAAACAAACGTATATTCATGACCAAAAAAGAACGGAAAGCTATATTTTTATATAATTATTTGTACGGGTGAATGTGGAGCTGTGGCTGAAAAGCAAGGAATTAAAAACACCTGGCGAATTCCAGAGCTGTAATCCCAAGACAAGATATCTGCATTGTGAGTAATTATTTGGTAATGTGGGCCAAAAACCTCTTCGTGCAAAAGGATACTTCGTTCTTACAAAATGTTCATTCTGATCATGGTCTGAACGAATCACGTGTAGATGCTTACATTTAAGTTATTACAAATTTGCGAATTGAAACATATTTTACGCTGTAAAAAAATAAAATATATGGTGTAATAAAAGGTAAAATAGATCTTTAATTTCACATCATTTCGTTCATAAAAATTAAAAGTGCCATACTGTGTTACGAATTTTAATAGCAATATGTTTAATACGGCTATAAACATATACATTGATATTGTCAAACTTTTAATTAATTGTGTTGATTGTTGGTTAGATTATTGATATATACTTAAATTTTTGCTAGTTACCTTCCAACTTTGAAGAAATTCTTACATTAGGGTAAAAAAACTATGCAGTATCTCAGCGAAATCTGAAAACGTGACATTAAATAAAATAAATATATATGAGTAATATTATAGCTTTTATTTTTATTATTTAATTTACATTTACAGTTTTTTATTTGTATTGGACCGATTTCGACTTTCAGCTCATATGATCGAGAATTTAATGGATATAGTTTGGATGGAGATCGATTGGATGTTGCTCGAGGGATTAGGATGTGGGAGGAGAATATTCCATGGCAATAGTCTCCGACCGCAAATAGATATATAAATGTAGAAAGTATATTTCACATACCAATCGGTCGATTTATTCACATATCGCCGAAAACAAGAGCTTCTAGCTCACTGACTCTCGATGTTTTGAGTCAGATTAGTGCATTCTGGCATTTTAGATGTGATACGAGTGATAGTATACGTACAGCTGCACCTCGACCTTTTATATTTGAGTCAAGTAAAACATTCTTCCATTGTCCACGTATTGTCTCATTATCTGAGTGGCTTGAAATTTGTCAGATGATGGGACTGACATGTCTCAAGAGATGAGAATGTCTACGACTCGGGTGGAGGGACATCGGCCCGATTGGTGGTAGTAGCCGTGCGATAACCGCCGCCAAAATCAACGGTGACTGTAGCGGCCGTGACGCGATTACATAGGCCTACGGGACTAGTCAAATGATTTGTAGTAGGTATTTTTTTACTGTCTATTTTTTTACACTCTACCGACATGCTTGAAACTCACTGAGTTTTGATGTTTGAATCTAAGTAGAGCGTTCTTCGGTTGCCTAAACATGATCTGAACTCGTAATGTATCCGATAAATGTTTGAGATGGCTTCAATTGCCAGCTCATGATCATCTGAGAGGATTGTAACGTGTCTGACAGGTGATGGGAGAGACTCGCCCCCAAAACTGTCAACGCCTACGACTCCGGCGGATGAACGTTGGCCCGACTGCGCTGGTGGTGCCCGTGTCCATAACCGTGCGACGACCGCCGCCAGAGCGACTGCTGATTGGCGCGGCTTTGGCGCGAGG